GCTCCCAACCTCTGACCCCAACTGGGCTCCCACCATGGCCGCACTGGCCAGACCCTGGGCATAATCTCCTCTGCCCATCTTCCTCCTTCAAATTCTCAAAACATTATCAAATGTAACACCTATTCAGTTACACTTTCTCAAAACTACTTGTATGTCTTGGCCAAAACAACAAGAGGAAACTTTTAGTCCCAGTGTTGAAAAAAGTAACAGCCAAGAGATTTGGGATGAAATTGTGTTCTTGTTTTCATTGAGTTATAATGAACATCTGGGGAGCCCAGCCCCATCAACCAAGAAAGGGGATGAGAACCTTGGGAGGGTCAACACTTGACTTGTATATTTCAGTGTTTCCATGGAAACAACATAGCATCCCAAATACTACAGAACTGGTACTTGTTCCACAGAGAGGCTGCCTATTCCACAAATATCTCATACACAAAGCCCTTTGTGCACACCTCACCTCTACATATACAAGTGCCATTAATCAACAAGCCCCCAGGGGCCCACCTAGGGATAAACTAAATGAGGCCCCACAAGCCAAAGTCACCCTGTGACCCAGAAGGGAAGGAAGAAGGATTTGTTCCCAATAACGAACATGTTTGCTCTTCCTGCTCATTTCTACACAAAGTTTCTTCTCTGGATGCACAAGAAGGTACTTAAAGGAAGGGACCAGGGGATAATATTATGATGGACCTGTATGACAGGAGGATCCAGAGACTGTGTTTTCTTTGCTATGAAGATATTTATGGCATGTAATTTTAATTAACTGGCCACACACGAAGCTGAGGATGGAGTTGTTAAAAATTAAAACAATTGAAAGACATGAAAAGTAGATATGAGAAAAAGACACAAGCTGATTTTGTTTAGGCATTACAGATCACATATTAGCTCCTGGAGCTGGCCATGAAAATCATATGTGTCCTCCAACTCTCTGCATACAATACTTCATCCAACCAGTAATAGAAGGAGACTAAAAGTGACCCAAGCATTTGCCCAGTGACAGGTAACTTAAACTCAATGCATGTTTGGGGGGAGGGGGGCAGGGGCAGGAGCAACACAAGGGTTACCTGGTGACCTTAGAAAATCTATCTTGTAGACTGGAATCTAATAAGGCACAGCCTGGCCTGGGAGTCAGAAAGACCTGAGTTCAAATCCTGACTCAGACACTGTGTGATCCTGGGCAAGTCACTTAACCTCTGACTCATTTTCCCCATTGGTCAAATGAGGATCATTATAGTTCCTACCTCCCAGGGTGATTGTGAGGATAAAATGAAATAATATTTTTAAAGTACCTTGTAAACCTTAAAGGAGTAGATAAAATGTAGTTACTATTGTTATTATTATTGTACTGGAGATGTTAACAAATCTGTTGATCATCAAAGGAATCTGCATGGAATGCTCTGTCAAAGCTGTTCAACCTTATCTATGTACCATGTCACACTCACAATTGAATAACCCAAAAATTCTGACAGCATCAGGTTTGAGTAAAATCCATGAGTATCCTTACACGGTGAAGGAAAACCATAGTCCTTCCCTGTCTAAATGAACCACACAGACCCAGAATGAAACATGTCTTAAGGCATGATGGGGCAAAGTCACCCAGGCAGGGCACTTCCACAACCTAAACACTTCACTCACACAACTCTACGTGGAGCCAAAGCTACATTTTTAGACTGAGAGGACAAAAGGATTCCTTCTCTTTCAGCAACAGCCCCATTGAGCATCCAGACCCCCTGCACCTGCTGGACTTTCCTCCTGTCAGTCAGAGCCTTGGAAAAAGGGAAGAATGTCAAGGATTCCTGGGATATTGAATCTCTCCTTCACAGTCAGGTGAGCTCCTACAAAGCTGCTTTTCCATGACTTTGGTTTCATCCATTTGATTTCTGAGTAAGATGGGAAGAACTAAGCAGTTTATCTATTGGCACTCGGCATATCTACTGGATCAATGTAAAGTGCTGAGATATCATCATTATTGTTATTGTGAAAGAAAGGATGAAAAAGCATCTATTGAAGACTTGCTGTACTCCTCTCACATCATTCTCTTGAATGCTTTCCCCCAAGAACTCTAGGATGCTGACTTGCATTTAGCTTATGTTCTCCTATGAACCTAAGGTGTGTTTCTAGCCATAATCAAATCCACCCCAGATTCTCACCATCTTAAATGTGTACTTTTGTCTTTTCTGAAGTATCTTATGCGGTATGTAATCTTTCTTAATTAATCTGACCACTTCTCTAATTTAGTCTACTGACAATGAATTTTACTCTTGTCAAAAAAAAACTAGATACCCCACTGAGAAGATTGACCTCAACCTTAACTTAATGATTAGACATAAGCTCTACCACCTGCATCATTTATAAAGTCATTAACCAATATTATTCCTTTAATAAATCCTTTATAATTAGTACTTATATCATCTGAAATTGACATTGAAACAAAAAACTTTAACTGTTATTCTCCTGGTACTATTCAATATTGCAATAATTTGACTATTATTTCCCCTAGTATAATTACTCTTCTTTTTTATGTACTGCTCTTAGACTTCTAGTTATTGGGAATTTTATACATATTAGGTGAACGCCAAATACAATTTATGTCAAACATACAGTACAACCTTTGAACATGCATCATTGAAAAGAAAATACTATTTTTAATTGCACAAATTTTTTTCCTTTAGCTTTATATAGAATTTCTACAGAATTGTGTTTTTCACAATTTTTATATCATCATCATTATATCTGAGACACAAATAGCAATAATTATCAGACAGACAAATTAGAGAGGGCATTCCTTGCCAAGTCTTTCATAAATGTCCTGTGAAATATCACATTTGGAGGGAAAGATGGTATTCATGGAATCAAAAGAGAATTACTAGAGCAAGAGAAAGTACGGGAAAAGATAATCTAACATCTTGAGAAAAATAAAGGAATAAAAAATGTTTGGAAATACACTTCTTATAAGGAACAAAAACAAAACAAAAAAGGGAACCCATTTTGCTTAGGAATTTAGGTTCTTGTATATAAGGGCACTGGTAAGGACTGGGTTTTGCCTATAAAATTTTTATGCATCAATCACATTGTTATTACTAATCTTGATGTTGCTCCTCTTGACAATCCCAGCAAACACTGAAGTTCTATTTTTTTAATTTTCCAAATTATTTATTTATTTATTTTTAGTTTTTAACATTCACTTCCATAAGATTTTGAGTCTTAAATTTTCTTCCCCTTTCTCTCCTCCCCCCTCCCCAAGACAGCATGCAATCTGATATAGGCTCTACTTACACATTCATATAAAGCATATTTTCACATTAGTCATGACGTATAGAAGAATTGGAACCACTAGGAGGAACCACAAGAAAGAAGAAACAAAACAAAACAGAAGGAAAAAAAGAGCAAATAGTATCTTTTGATCTGCATTCAGATTCCATAGTCTGTTCTCTGGATGTGGACAGCATTTTCCATCATGAGACTTTTAGAGATGTCTCAGATCATTGCATTGCTGAGAAGAGCTAAATCTATCAAAGTTAGTGATCACACAGCGTTTCTGTTACTGTTTACAATGTTCTCCTGGTTCTGCTCACTTCACTTAGCATCATACAAATTTTTCCAGGTTTTTCTGAAGTCTGCTTGCTCATCATTTCTTATAGCACAATAGTATTCCATTACATTTATATACCACAACTTGTTCAGCCATTCCCCAATTGATGGGTATCCCCTCAATTTCCAATTCTTTGCCACCACAAAAAAGAGCTGCTATAAATATTTTTGTACCTGTGGGTCTTTTTCCCATTTTTATGATCTCTTTGGGATACAGACCTAGAAGTGCTATTGCTAGGTCAAAGGGTATGCACACTTTTATAACCCTTTCTGCATAGTTCCAAATAGCTCTCCAGAATGGTTGGATCAGTTCACAACTCCACTAACAGTGCATAAGTGTTCCAATTTTCCCACATCTTCTCTAACATTTATCATTTTCCTGATTTATCATGTTAGCCAATCTGATAGTATGATGTGACACCTCAGAAATGTTTTGATTTTTATTTTTCTAATCAATAGTGATTTAGAGAATTTTTTCATATGACTATAGATAGCTTTAATTTCTTTCTCTGAAAACTGACTATTCATATCATTTGACCATTTATCAATTGGGGAATGACTTATATTCTTATTAATTTGACTTAGTTCTCCATATATTTTAGAAATAAGGCCTTTATCAAAGATACTGGCTGTAAAAATTGTTTCCCAGCTTTCTGCTTCCCTTCTGATTTTGGTTGCATTGGCTTTGTTTGTGCAAAACCTTTTTAATTTAATATAATTGAAGTCATCCCTTTTGCACTTCATAATGTTCTCTATCTCTCATTTGGCCATAAATTCTTCCCTTCTCCATAGATCTGATAGTTAAACTATTCCTTGCTCTTCTAGTTTGCTTATAGTATCAGTCTTTATATCTAAATCATGTACCCATTTTGACTTTATCTTAGTATGGAGTATAAGATGTTAGTCTATGCCTAGTTTCTGCCATACTATTTTCCAGTTTTCCCAGGAGTTTTTGTTAATTAGTGAGTTCTTATCCCAGAAGATGAAGTCTTTGGATTTATCAAACAGTAGATTACTATAGCCCAACATTGAAGTTCTAACACCAAGGGCCACAGAGCTCCCAATCCAGGAAAATGTGTATACGTGATACTTGTGTATAAAATGTGGATATATGAAATTTGATGAAGGGTCTAGAAGATGGGAAAGGTGAGAGGTGAGGTGGAGGATATTGCTACATATAAAGATAATGGAAACCTTCAGCTTAAAAAGCTTCATTCATCTCCTGTTCCCTTCACTTCTAGACCAAATGTGATCCCAGAGCCTCATAGCCTCTCCTGTTAATGCCCTGTTTCTCTGGCCCCAACATGGAACATGGGGAACAGCACCATTATCACTGAGATATTCTTCTGGGACTCACAGATGCCTGCAAATTACAAATGCTCATCTTTGTGGGGCTCCTCCTGACCTACCTTATCACACTGCTGGGGAACCTCCTCATCATTGTCATCACCCTGATGGATCATCGTCTTCACACCCCCATGTACTACTTCCTCAGAAACTTTGCTGTACTGGAGATCCGGTTCACTTCTGTCATCTTTCCCAAGATGCTGAACAACATCCTAACAGGAAATAAGACCATCTCCTTTCTGGGATGCTTCCTACAAGGTTTCCTTTACTTGTTCCTAGGAACTACAGAATTCCTCCTCCTGGCTGTGATGTCCTTTGATTGATATGTGGCCATCTGTAACCCCCTGTGTTATGCCACCATCATGAGCAAAAGGGTTTGTGTGCAGCTGGTGCTGTCCTCATGGGTGGGAGGTTTCCTTCTCATCATTGTACCTAGTAGCATCACATTTCAGCAGCCTTTCTGTGGCCCCAATACCATCAATCACTTTTTCTGTGACAATTTCCCATTGCTAGAGCTTATATGTGCAGACACAAGCCTGGTGGAACTGATAGGCTTTGTGGAGGCTAATGTCACTTTGCTGGGCACCTTATCTGTCACTGCCTCCTGTTACGGCCACATCCTCTACACAATCCTGCGCATCCCCTCAGCCAAGGAGAGGCAGAAAGCCTTTTCCACTTGTTCCTCCCACATCATTGTGGTATCACTTTTTTATGGCAGCTGCATCTTTATGTATTCAGGGCAGGTAAGGGCAGCGAGGGAGAGAACCGAACAAGGTGGTGGCCCTCCTTAACACTGTGGTGACCCCAATGCTCAATCCTTTCATCTATACCCTGAGGAACAAACAGGTGAAACTGGTGATTAGGGAAAAGGTGGGCAAGTGGATCTCCTAGGCCTAAGCTGGAGCTGCAGAGCAGGGAGCGTTCTCCATAAGAGGCAAAGGCTTTTGTAGCTCCCTGAGAAGACTGTTCTTGGGATCATCTTGGCTATCAACCCAGATATTTTTGGTTTGTTCTCTTCACCAGGACCAGCTGCCAGTGAGCTCTTCTGAGCGCAAAGTCACCATCCCTTCTTATACATACCACACCCCAAAGTTCTCCTGACCTTCTCACCCTCTGGAACCTAGTGATTTGTTAAATTAATATAGGTAAGGAGCTAGACAGCATGGCAAAGCCAGCACCACTATTTGTGTCTGGTTCTTCCTGGTGCCCAGTTCCCGCATATGCCTGCAACCTGAGTGAATACTTTTTCCTCATGATTCATTAAAAGCGGATTTGAAACTTTTGAAACTTATATATATCATCATGAAAAGTACTTTTGTTGCATCTGTCTTAAAAACCTCATCCAAAGCAAGTGAAATTGTTCTTGCCTTCTGTGAGTTTATGATTTAAAATCTACAAAATTGATATAGATTAATATGCAAAGGTCAAATGGACAAAATAAATATTGACCAAATGCTTTATTTAAATAATTTGTCCACATAAATTAGGCTCAAGAGGGAACTACATTTCATGAGGTAGAAGGTTAATTAAGTTGGAATTATACTCTCATTTACAGTTAGGAAAATTTTCAGTGGAGAGGTTCATTGATTTTTAAGATTGGTATAAATAAATTTAATTAATAATGATTCCCCAAACTGCCCCAATTCTCAATGATTCCATCTCTTGCTTCCCTGTATTCACTCAAGATATCCCCCCATACCTGGAACACAGTAATTCCTTCTCTCCTCAAGTCCACTGCTTCAAATCTATAATGTTCCTCACATCTCAAAGAATGAAATAGACTATTACTCAGAAAATAAAAAATATAACATCTACAGTTCTAGCACATTCATTCACACCCTATGCTTTTGACTCCAGGGTCACATTTGAACACATTCACAAATCTTAGATATTTCACTTGCTATGGCCATATTTTTTATTCAACATAGGGAAGATGGAGGGAAAAGTTAAGCACTCCTCCACAAAGCCATCCACCTTCAGCCATCACCCAAAGCCTCTTCCTGCTCACCTAGTTCTTCAAGTGTGGCTGGGGAACTATTAAATCACACCCTTTCAGATCATGTAAAAGGAATAGAGGAGCTCAACTCCAAATCACAAGCCATACCAGGGGAAACCAGAAAAATTTTGCAAGAGGGGCCATCTTCCCCACAATGTGCCAAGTCTTAGGATTGAGGATCTACCTGGATCACCTCTGCGGCACAAGTATCCAGTAAGATCAGTGAGTAAAGGCTACCCCATCACCTCAGACAAGCCTGGAAGATCTTTGGCTGTGGCTTCTCACTTCTCCTGGCTCACATAGTTGGCAGTCCAGAGTTTGAATGTCAAAGTCAGCTGCTATTCAGGTACATGACAATCAGCTAGTACAGCTCCAAGGGCAGTCATTGATCTCCATCACTGTCCTTGGATCTTTGGCAATTAGAAAATACAAATCTCATGGGTAAGAGAAGAAAGACACAGGCAGCTTACATTGGATACCAGCATCCAGTCAATAAGTCAGGCAATAAGCATTTATTAAGCATCTACTATATGTCAGGCATATGTACTAAGTACTGGGAATACCAAAAAAAAAAAAAAGGCAAAAAATAGTCCCTGCTCTCAAGGAGCTTATAGTCTAATGGGAAGTCTAATAGGCAAACAACTATGTATAAACAAGTTACATACAGGATAAAGAGGAAATAATCAGAGGGCACACTCAATAACTCCTGTCATAAAAACATCACCATGAAAATATTGATGCACAACTTCCCCAAATCAGTGTATCCCACTCTCTCACCATCCAGCTCAAATCTGAGTTAAGTTCATCTCCACTATTTTATGATTAAACTTCCAGCCCATTTCTAATTTTTCATGCTTCCCATTAAATGTGGGAATGTCAAATATTAGACCCATGCTATCTGTCTCTTTCTTTCTTTCACCATCTCTATGGTCCTAGGAGAGTGATAATAATTCAAATAAGTGAGAAGACAATATGTGGACCCAGATTACATTCTTATTACTGTGTGTTACCTTTATTCTTCTTCTTCCCCCCCCCATTTATCCAAGTGCACCATTAAAAAAAAACTCACATAACAATATCACTTCTGCTCAGTGTTACACTGGTAAATGTTTAACAGCCAGCTCTCTGGAAAAGAAAAATGTATCTCTGACATACTTTTAAATTTAATCTGTGTTATTAACATTTTCTCCATCACTTTCTAAAGTCTAGAGTGATGAAATAATAAATTAAGTCCTGATTCATAGCATTTGTCAATTTCCAAAGCATAAATGTTCACAATGAAAATTTAACTATTAGCTCTGTAAGCCAGTATGGGATGGGTCCAGTCCACCCCTGCTTCTGTTCCTCCACCCTTAGCTGATCTTCATCTAAATATCTTCCACCACATTTGTCTCCTACAGGCCCTGAGCTTCTTCACATGAGTACTTCTATTTCAATATTGTGAGGTTTCGCAGTCTGGTCAGTGTACATATGCCCTCCTCCAATACAGATCACAACTTTTACAACTGAATAGTCATTCTTCAATATTTGCTGTGGCTGTGAAATTCATCACCCTGGGTTAATTTAGTCAGGAGCTTCTCCACAACTGGCAAAGCTAGTCCTTGGACAACAGACATACATATAGTCTATCACTGATCTAGTACTTTGAACAGTTCCACATTGGTGGAACCTACAAGAGCCTGGTAGCATTGTCATTGAGAGTACAAGATCACTTCTGCATCATGATGAGGCAGTCTAGTAGGACTTCAGTGGGAACTTCACACAAGAATATGTTCCTGATATACAATTACATTCAACTCCCCTTTCCTTCCCCTCTTTTATCTGTTGTATTCCTTTTGGATATAATTCTTCTCTATTCTCATTCCAGCCATGACTCGCATAACGCCAATTCTCAGAGACACCTATGAGATTAAATGTTTCTTCTTGCATTGTGGTTTCTCATTTATCCCGTTGACTCAAATGAACTTGTGATCTCATTGCTGTCAGCATGCTCTCTATCCAAATAATATCACATTTTATCCATTCCCACCCATCTAGTGCAATTCTTGTTGAAATTTTCCCATAACTTGAACATAGGAGGTCCCCACCTAACATGTTAGCGGTCTTTGTTGTCCTTGGTGTCTCTTGATGTCATAAGGATATGGTCAGGTTGAAACATTTCACAAACAAGAAAAAGCAGTAGAAGAGGAATAAAAAAAATTAAGTGGAAAAAAAAGATAGATTGATCATGTGGCAAGAACGAGGGACACCCATTGGACAGTCTGTGTGTGTGTGTGCCATTTATATCCTTATGACATCAAGAGAAACCAAGGACAACAAAGACCGCTAACATGTTAGGTGGGGACCTCCTATGTCCCTCTCTGTTGCTCTTTTTGCAGTATGTGGCTTTGCTCAATTGCAGTATATGACACATAGTAAGCTCTTTAAAAAAGGCTTTTTCATTCATTCATTCATTCCTCAATTTTAATTCTTCAGAGACTGTAGTGGATTACGACTCATAGCCATGCAACAACAATGGCATTATATTGGTATTAAAAAAGATGGGCCATTGTTTTAGAGAGAAACTTGGGGACACTAAAAGAACTCAGCAAAAGGCAATCCAGCCTACTTGTCTTCTCCTCTCTTGGTCCAAATAATCATCCCTTTACAGGGCTTTTCTAAGATACATACACACACATACATATAAAATCTATGCTCCTACTTTGCCTCATACTCTGTTTAATAGGCATCCTTTATCCTCTTGATTTTTCCCATGTGGATAATTAGAACAAGCTCTTTTGAGTTATTATAGATACCGTCTAGGAGGGTAGGCAATGTTCTAGGACCTCATGTAAATTCACAGGAGAGAATATTTGTAAAGCACTTACACAGTGCCTGGCACAGAGTAGAAGCTACATAAATACTTATCCCCTGCCTTTCTCTTCCTTTTTCTTCCTTTCCTTTCCCTTCCCTTCCCTTCCCTTCCTCAAACAGCACAATCTCATCTACAAAAAAGGAGCATCTGGAGGATGTCACTATCTAAAGGAAATCCTTCTTTGACTTGGAATCTGTGCTTGAACTCCTCATTGACAATGGCAAACATCTTTGGCAAGGGCAGGGAAGAGAATAAGTATTTCTATAGTGCCTATTTTACTTATATAAGCTTTTATATAGTGCCTACTGTGTGCCAGGCACCACGTTAAGTGCTTTACAAATATTATACCATTTGATTTTTCTCCCTATTTTATGCCTCAGCAAACAGATCAGAGGTTCAGCATTGATGAATAACATTACTATTTAACAATTATGTAAATAAGTACATTTTATTATATTAATTTATAATATAACATAAATTAATTATAAATATTGTAATTGTTAATTATCAATATTATAAATTAATATAATATATTATAAATTATATAAACAAGTAACATTAATAATTGCTATCATTCATATAGCATTTTAAGGCTTGAGAAGTGCTTTACATGTATTATCTCATTTGATCCTCACAACAACTCTGTGAGGTAGGAGCTATTATCATCCCCATTTTACAGATGAGGAAACCAAGGCTGAGAGAGGTCAGTTATAAAATGATGTTCATCAATCAAGGTTATTTCTGTTGTATATTTTTCAAGGAATTTTATATCTTTTTGATACATACTTCAAGGAGACCTTGTTGGGGAAAAGCATTTTAAATGGTATTTTGTTCACTGAATCAAATGCTTTTTTAACAGTCAACAGAGTAGGGTGGATGAGGTATTGTCTACA